CTCGCCCGCTCACACCTTCACAGTTTTTATTGCCAGGACGTGGTACATTTAACTTTCCCGAGCATTTCTTGGAAATTTTTAACAAAGTATCCGACAAAGAGACTTTAACCAGAAGGAGCTTTACCAATCTAAGCTCTTAAAATTAACATGGATCAAGTGGAAAGAGCAATATTTACTCCATCTTAGAAATGCGCATAACTTTGCTAATCCTAAAACTGAGCGGAACATTAGACTGGAGACATTGTGTTGGTAGAAGGACCAAAACAATCCAAACTACTTTGGGACCTGGGTGTAATTGAAAACGTGATTATAGGAAAGATGGACATGTTCGAGCGTGCCTCGTTCGCACCCCAAAGGACAATTCAGAAGATCGATCCAGATATGTTATATCCTTCGAGATTTAGAACTTTTGATATTATTTATTATTATATTATTAATTATTATGTTCATTTATGGCTTTGATATATACTAGTGTAGATTATTCTTTTATATTATTCATTTATATACGTCATACTATTTAGTATTAATCCATTATTAATTAATGTTAATATTGTTATGTAGGTAAGTTTGGGTGTACTCTTGTTAAAGAGTACAGGTGGGGAGTGATGTAGAAAAAAGAGATAGAGGGCGCTGCGCCGCCCGTATGTTTAGCTAATTAAGAGTTTCGGCAGAGAGGGTTGAGAGGTTGAGAGGTTACAGAATTTAGTTATGCATAAAATGAACAAATCGGATGTGTCAATCTGGTGTAGGAAAATTATCTTCAGTATGCAGTATGATCTCCCCTAGAAACTTCAGTATACAGTATGATCTTCCCTAGTACAACACATACAACGATGTACGATGCTGTCAATTGTGCAGTCTACTAGTTCTGTAGGAAGTGAGACCATTACTCTTACAAAACAGTTGCAATGCACCGGCATAAGGGTGCACATAAGAATCAAAGATGTCATCTCTATATGCCTGAGCGTTCATGGTTCCACGTGGAAAGACATGGGGGTCTGTGCGTCCACCCAAAGAGATATCACCCCAAACACACACACCGCCTCCTCCGTATGCATCTCTTTTACGGATGTTTGATTGATGATAACGGGTTCCAGATTCTCTCCAAATCAAATAACGCCTAATATCGCTGTGGAGGAACCTTCATGAAGCCTTATACTACACGTTAAAACCAACCTTCTAGTGGCTGCAAGCAAGGGAGGATTTAAGTTGAGTTAAAGTTGAGGTTCTATTCCTTCGTGCGCATAACAACAAATATCGGTCATCAGCGCTCGTCGTATCGGTTGGTCGTCCTTGGCTGAACCTCCTTGGATGTCGAATTTGTAGTTAGATATTATTGTCAAAGTCTATTAAGCACAGAAGGTCTCACATTTACCCATCTGGCCACTTCTGTCTGACTTTGTCCTGTCTCTAAGTCTCCTAGTGGCTCTACATCGAAATTCTTCAGCAAATGAGCCTGGAGATCCTTGTTTCAAATTGGCTATCCCATATTTCTTATCTCAGTATCATAGCGAAATTTCCAGGCTTGCTCTGAAACATGTAATTTTATGCTCCTCGTAGATGACGTATTTTGATAGCATCGCCACTAATTTACATACCGCAGTTTTACTCAACAATTCTTATTTGACAACATATTCACATTTTATACGGACTGGCTTATTTTTGAACGAATTATCGCAATTTTTGTGATTTTTCTTTAATTTTTGTAAACTAGTATATTACATTCTCTGCAATAAAAATTTCAGTTCTTAGTGGCTTAACATCAGTAACAACAATTTAACAGCAACTGTCATACTGATGCATCAATCTTCAAAACTGCCAACAGAAATTTAAACATTCAAAATACCCGGATCATTATGTAACGAAGAAAGCATGTCATTTATTATAGCTTGAGAAAGTATACAGAGTATAACCTTGCCGAATGTGTTTCAGAATTCTTTAGCTTCCACAGGTACTATCACTAACTGCACAACATAAAATCACGATGATTTAATATAATAATTTTTATTTTAGAAACCATCTAAATACTTTTAAATAAAATCCATATTGTCTTTTATTTTTTGACAAGGAAATACGGAAACAAGTTTAACACATACTTTTCAAACTCAGTCTCATTTCAGATTAATGATTTTCAGTTAGAAAATACGTGACATACCTTTTATTTTATCACTAGGTGGCGATTTGTCCATCTCATCTTCGATGGGCACTTCGTAGGGCCTCGGATAATGTGGAGGCATGCGAGAAGTAGGCACAGGCAGCACCCACCTTGGAGCAGTGGTCAAGGTTGAAGGGGGAACGCTCGCCGGCTGAAGATGACTCCTATCGAAAGACTTATTTTCTGCGGGTCGGGCAGATGTATTTTTGTGCAAGTTGTTAGGGGCCGCAGAGGCGGGCACCGACACATTGACTGTCGACGTCTGATGACTCGATGAAGTGCCTGCGCAATTGAAAAAAAAACTCAGAACACAGAAATTACAGAACGATACAAAATAAAAGTTCCTACATTTTGGGGACACGTAATGCTTTTCAGTCTACTAGTGTTTTCTCTAATAACCATGTAAATTACCATTACCGGTACTGATATCGCCAAAATGTTTATTACATATAAACATATTAACATATCCATAAACTAAATTAGAGTTGTTGCATTTATTGCTTTATGAATGGTTCAGATGTAATTTATTATTATTAATACAGACTGTCTTGAGCTATGGAGTAGCATTTGAAAGTAATTGAACAGGAAAAATTCCATTTTTGTTTGGCGTTAAAAACTATTAAACAATAAATTTCTCTGCTTTTTAGACATGATAGCATTCTCTCACTTTTTGCGGTAAGTAATTCTACCCATTGCTGTGCTGTTCTTGCCTTAACTATTACTGTTACCACGGACATATAACGTCTTTTGTTAAGCATAGTAAGGGGATAGGTAATGATAAATGCAGAAGTGCGCTTATATACTTTTTAAGAGTTTAATTAGAATTAAAAGCGTTAATTAAAAATTTATCTAATAGTCAGTGTTATGGGGCTTCAAAATGTTTATCTCGTCAACTGGAGAAATATTTTTGTATAATTTTTAGAGACGAAATCTTAGTGATAAGAAGATGAGTAATGAATAACTGTTGATTACTAATTAATATTTTCTTACCTGACTTCCATTTCCCATTCTTTAATATGAGTTTCCTTTTCTCCTGTTTTCTTTACAAAGATAATTTAGTCTAACTGAGGTATATTAAAACATTTGGTATTTGACTGCATAAATTTTCAAGATTTCAGAAGTACAGTTAGGAATTTGGAGTCGTTATTTACGAAAGTTGTTATTGTTATTCACCAAATTGAGAATTTTGCCAGTTACTCTCAATTCTATTATTACACTTTTCTTACAGGTTCTTAAAAGTGCATTTTTGATTATAGGTTTAAAAAAGCTTAAAAAACACAGTTATATTTAGAAATCCTTTCAAAATTTTTGTAAAATTATATATTTTTTTATTAATTTACTTACACATATAATCATGTAAGCGGAAAATTATCTACAGCAGCGGTTCTCAACCTTTTGACTATCGTGTACCATCTAAAAAAATTGAAAACCTTTAGTACCACCAATACAAAGTACTACTACCACCACCACTCTTGAACAACGCTCAGATGGCATAAATTTACGAGTGTTAGAGAAAAAGCTCAACCAAGATGTTGTGGTTTTAATTTTTGAATTTAATAGTAAAAATACTTTGCTTCTTTGCGTACCACCGGTTGAGAACCCCTGATCTATAGGGTATCTCAGAACAATGGACTGAAGTTACCAGGCTTAGACAACGCGTTCTGTAGTCAGATATAAGCAGAATATGACCTATAAACAGGGTGATCACCGAGAAAAAATGTTTCGTACAAATGTATGCAAGAAAAATGTACTAGATCTGAGAAAAAAATATATATTTGCTCTTCCTTCACTCTCTTTAGGGCTTTTGCGATATTACTATCTTATCATCAAAGATGAATTCAACTAAATCAGCTAAACTGATATGTATCCGACAAATATGAAAAAGGGAAAAGTGAATCCTCACCTCACTGTAATCATATATGGAGCTCATATGTTCAGTTATTAAATTTTTTCTTTAGAAACAGACATTTTATTTATTTCTTACATAATAACATACAGATATTTCCTTTATTTAATACGCTAATTATAAACATTCCTACGTGCAAGAAAAACACTGAGGTATTTATTCATTATTTTTAGCAGATTTTGCTTAACTAATTAAATTTACCCTTAAGACATAGTAAAATGTTTCGTAGACGAAAGTAATCATTAGGTTTGTCGAAGCAGAAAGCACAAAGAATCTGCAGTGAGCTCGCTCGGATTTGAATTCCGGACTTCCTGATAGCTAGCCAGAAATATCTACAATTACACCACGAAAGTATGCGTTAAGAAGAGAGAAAATATTTTAAAATATTTTAATTTTCTCTTTGTCAAAAGGAGTTATTCTCCAAGTTTGCACTGGATTTCTTATCATATTTTTATTTATTGTCATTGCTAGAAATATTCTTTCAGTAGCTGCTGGCGAAGGAAGGAGACATAATATATCCTTAACTAATATTGTTAAACTGCACAGCATTTGTTCAGCCGAATACTTAACCCTTATTAGTTCTACTACAATCTTCAGTAAATACCTATCTCTACCATGACATCCACAGTTGTTTTATTCAATAAGATTTAGAAAATGAAAAGCAAGTAACATTCTAATACAAAATCAGTCTCATTTCCCCACCTCAGAATCCAATATTGTTAATTTTTCAATACTAGACTTTTGAGTTCTATTAGTCTGAAAATTAAAAATTAGACATAAAAGAATATTTCATCTTAAAACGCCTTAATATCTCTTCAAGGAACTTCATGCAAATTTACTTTAGAAGACCTTCCATTTTCAGAGTCGAGAAAATTTTCTGTATCGAAAAACTAAACATTGTTGGTTTTATTTTTTTTAGTTGGTATTATTTGTTGAAATATTTTATGAATTCATAAAATATTTTCTTTTTGATCATTGTCATTTTGTTTTTTTACGATGAATTCAGAAAATGATTGAGATGTTCAACTAAAAACTCTGATGAAATTTAGATTTACAACTTTTGGTAAGATGATGGTGAACTTTTGGTGGGTGAATTTAAAGTTATAATTTTCGGCTGGGTGAAGAAGCGAAAAAATACGTTAATTGTGAAACCTGTTGCACAGTTTATTTGGCTTGCCAAATACGATCTCTTATTACACTCGAAGTGAGGTATAATGTGGCATGTCTAATGCTCTTTTATTTTTAATGTCACTAATTTTATACTTTCTTATTCTTATGTAATGACCACAGGTGTGCACAGGGAAGACAATGGGGCATTCGTCTTTTGTTTAGCTCCAGCTGTAGAATGCATTCGTAGTGTTTGGTGATTTTATTCCTGGAAATCTTGTATTTGAACTTACACAATGTAAATTATCCTTCATAAATAAAATATTATGTCAATGAAACAAAAAGCAAAAAAAAAAAAAAAAAAGTATAATTTAATGTATAGGCATAAATTTGTTTCGTTGTGACGCTTTGACAACAAACGTATTAGTTTCCGTAAGTGTCGGATTATTTTAATTATGGTAAAGTACATTTAAGCTTATAAAAAGCTTTATGTGTTTATGGAAAGGACGCCTTTGTAGAGAACGTTTTGAGGGAAATTGCACCGTATTTACTTCATACATGAGGAAAAAGATGAAAATCTCAAGCAGTTTTGCCAGGAATAGAACCTGGAGCATATCACCTGATATTTTTGGCTACGACTCGTTTATTGGTGAGTTTATTTGCATCCATTGAAAATCAAGTCACTTTCAAGCTTAAAAAATATTGTCTTTATTTTACTCCAGCGAAATGTTCACTGAAGTAGTGTGACAAACTGTTACTATTTACTTCCGGAGATTCTATGTAGCTTGCTTAAGTTTCAGAATGAATGTTGTCGAAATCTTGCTTTGGATAATTCTTGGTAATGTGCTGCATAGTATAGTTTCAGTTCGCGTTTAAAATAATCAGGTCGTTTAAGAATAAAATAATACGAAATTTAGAGTACCAAGTGTATATTTGGTACGCGATCAGAATGAAAGTTACTTCAGAAAAATTTAACCAGCAAAGAAAAATTTGAAACAAAACCTGGACTTAAAAATTATAAATATTTTTTCTGTACAAGTATTTTTTCAGAATTAAATATCAAACTCAGTGGCGTAACAGCCCTAATGGGCCAAGGCCTGCATTACCCGAAATCTGCTTTCTTGACCGTGGGCCCCAGGTTGCGTAAGCATATGCCCTGAACAAATGGTCAGCTTGTTGCAGGACCCCCAGTGTTTAGTCCCCAAGCGAACTTGGTACTCATTTTATCGACTCAAATGATGGAAATCAAGGGGTGAAAAGCTGAGTCGACCTTGCCCAGCCCGGGAATCGAATCCCGCACCTGTGGTGCTGCTGAGCGATGCGCTAGCCACTGCGCCACCGGGCCTATTAAATATAAATGAAGATATTTTTACAAGAACCGTTGTAAGTCAGAATAAACTGTGAAAAGGAAAATTTAATTTAATAGAACGTGATAAATGAGAACTGAGTAAAAATATATTTGAGTATTTTCCATAAAAGTTTCATGAGTTTTTCACAGTAAATTCACACTGCAAAAAAAAAAAAAAAAAAAAAAAAAAACGTGCAAATTTTTCACATCCAATATTTTACATATACGAAATAATACTGATACTGTTTGAATGATTTAATATTCATAAAACAACTAATAGGTAAAACTGCACAAATTTTCAGCAACGCTACTGTTCCAAATATTCAAAGTATACAAAAACTCATCTGCATAGATCTTTATTTAATTCATACAGTGAAAGTATGTTATATTGTAATTTTTATTCACTTGTCACGTGATTTGTCAACTGTTAGTATGTGAAATGTATTTAAAGTTTTCAGGAAGTAAATGAACCTTCAAACTGTGATTCAAACAAGAAAGCTTCTTCTGTAGATCACTTAGCTATTGTAAGGAAGTTTTAAAAACAACTGTTTAATTTCACCTATTCCCCGGAAATAACAAAACAAACATTTCAATTTCAAAATCTATTCCATTCGTAGTTTTAGAATTTGCACGCTTATGGACTTCTTATATCAAATGCTGGGTTTGATACCACAGAATTATTGCTGGAACTCATTTACAAAATATTAGTTGTTTACGGATATGCAGAGAGATTTACCTTTTGAAGGGCTACAGCACACTTTGAAGATCACTTTCATATTGTGAGTTGCGCATCTTCCTCCTACACGCTGATGAAGTCCAGCCAGATCTCCCGTCGATGTGGCTAAAATTGGGGAAAAGGATGTAAAAATTAACATAGTATAAAAAATATTTAAAGTCATTCATAACATAATTCTGATGTCATGACTTAATAAACAAAGACGTAATGGAGCATACAAATGCATTCCTAATGTGCATTTCATCGAAATTCAGCTTAACAAGATTCGTATATAGTCCAGCACAAATGGCTGGCGTTATAAGAATGCTGCCTGCGCCTCTTACTGAATGAATTTGATATTTGTTTGTAGGGATTTATATTTATTTTAAATAACCAATTTATTTAATTTGTTATAGTTTCCTATAGTTGTCAGTGCCAGAATATTAAAATTTGGTAGTGCGTGTGAAGGAATGCAAATTCTACCTTGAAGAAAGAGTTTAAAAACCGAGGTTCAGTAGGAAACAGAGAGAGAGAGTTAGGCTATTGCCGTCACCTCTGTTGCTTAAGCATCTGCTCCCCAGAGTTATTGCTGGTTCGCGTGGCTTAAATTGCATTTACTTGCTCTCACTAGTTTTAGACGGAGGTTTAAGGAACAGGAATTATTCTGAGCCCTGTAGTTTAGTTCGAAGACTTGTACAAATCTTTAGTTAGTTCTTTGATTTCAGTTACCACCCGAGTAGAAGCGTACTTTATTAGCGTCGAGTTGACGCACTGTTAATTTTAAAGAGTTAATAAAAAGTACTTTTAACAGGTCATCTGTGCAGTTACTACTCTTACAGTTTTCATACAGGAGTGAATCAAGTGGACTCTACATGTTTATAAATCTGAGAACAAGCCTCATGTTTCGATTTCATCGGCATCGTTTGACAGTCATTGTTTTTTCACCACGAGGAAATTTTACATTCTTGCCAGTTTTTCAGGGTAAGAAGAAAAGAACAAGAGAGAATAAAAAGCGACTTATCACCCCCCCCTCTATCTTTTTTATATAGACCCACTAGCGAATGAGCGGTAAAATTGCTGAGCACTGACATCTCTAACTTTGGTTCGATTCCAGGCGAACGTAAAGACAAATCGCAAAGCATCCTACGTTCTAAGGGACTCTTAGATCAATAATTTTTTTTTTGAATCTTTTCCGGATTCCAAGAAAAGCATAAAAATATATATAATACAGTAAACATTCTGCGACTTAAGGTGAGTGCCCCTAACGTTCAGGTAAAGAAGATTATCCACGTCATAAATATGCCACTGATTCATTATCACTAATTACAAATACTGAACATAATTCTTTCAATACAGAGATGCCTCGCACAACGGAAGTTCCTCGCAGCAGACACTCGTATTTGCTGAAAAATATTTGGCATAACGAATCTGAAGAACAACATAAGAACAACAATGCTAGTATTATCAACCACACGCATGACAAAACTAATCTATTCGGGGAAATGTTATCATTCAGAACTTAACGTAACAAGAAAAAAGTCAGCCTGGACATAAAACCATCAAAGACAGATTAATAAAAAAGTAAGTCTGGACATAAAATCATCAAAGACAGATTAATAAAAAAGTGAGCCTGAACATAAAACCATCAAAGACAGATTAATAAAAAAAGTGAGCCTGGACATAAAACCATCAAAGACAGATTAATTAAAAAAAGTGAGCCTGGATATAAATTCATCAAAGACAGATTAATAAAAAAAGTGAACCTGGACATAAAACCATCAAAGACAGATTTTACCTATAAATTTTCTCTTAGCTTCTTTGCAGCTAAGAGAAGATTTGTACGTAAAACCGATATTATTTTATTAATCAGAAAATCCAAGAACTTTTAAGAAATTAATATTATTAAATCTAGATTGGCTGTCCAGCGGACATTGAACCAAAAAGGTTAAGTCTTATTGATTTTTTTAATAGTAGTACAGCTTCAGATTTTGCAACCTGTGTCAAAAAATATTTGACAGATAGAAACTAGCCACTGGAAAATATGCTTTGGTAATGTCCTTGGTAACCTGAAAGACCTAGAGAAGAAACTGGAATTTTAAATACAACTTTCTAAATATTCAATACCTGCTTTCCAAATTACTTTCTGGGCCCACTAGCGGCCGAGCGGTAAAGTCGCTGAACACATGCAGCCCTGACCCGAGCTCGATTCCAGGCGAACGGGCCAGCTGCGTGAGCGCCCTCGTGGCTTTCCCATGCGCAACGCGCACACGAGCCAGTTTTCCCTAGAAAACCCTCCACGAAGGCATCCCAGCCCTTAGGCAAACAGCCCTCCCTGCTTTGCTATAATTAAGTAAACCAAAAAAACTCTTTATATACTTTTTTAACATAAAAATTTCTGAAAATCAAATCTCATATTTATTTGGTAATTAAGTAAATCCCCCCCCAAAAAAAACCTCTTTTTATACAGTATGAAATTTTTAACATAAAAATTTCTGAAAATCAAATTTCATATTTATTTGGTAAACGCAGAAAAATTCCAGAAGAACAACGCCCTTTTCAAATAATGAAGAATAATTATGAAAGATACACAATGAACGTGTTTTGAGGCAGTTGGCATTTTTAACCTTTTGCAAAATTAATATTAGGTATAAGAAAAAAGTGGTGCTAAATGAGGGTTTTATAATAATTCGAAAATACTTAAGTGATTAATTTCCAACGAAAATAAATTAGAATTCATTAGATGGAACACAAGAACTGGATTTTGGACCGAAACTTTTCTTTGGGAATGTTTTTCGCCATAGTTGCTGTTTTATTTTGAATCAGACTTCTGATGAACTGGTTCGGAAAGATATGATCCAATCCAGTTTAAAAAAAAAATATATATATATATAGTGTCGATCCCGCAGGCAATCCAGACTTTTGCACCACGAAACAATTGAAATATCCGAAACTATCACATAGGTAAACCTTTTGTGACGTAAGAGACGTATCATTGAACCCCAAGGTCATTTAATCTGTCAAGGACAGAAAAGTTTTCTAGTGCCGCTCTTTCCATCTGTATCAACAGATGGCAACACGAGCAAATGATAACAGACCAAGAAACCTACGAGGTAGCACCTGAGACTGCTACTAGCTATTCACACTGTTAAACGATCAGCACTTCGCATTATAAAATTATCATAAAATTTGATACTGATTACGGGTGAGCAACTAGACTCAAGTGTCACCGTCAACTAGACCAGTAGACCATGACTCGACTCCAGAGGTAAGAGGAAATTTCTTCGGTATTCGCCGATGATCGTCAGCATATCGAATGTGCTTGTATATCTTCTTAAACTTCTTAGAAACTGGGGGGACTGGTAAGCAAAAAGTATGATAAAATGCCGTCTGCTTTTTGAAACTATACTTACAGACAAAGTAGTAATCATGGCCAGGTAGAAATTCCAGTCCTCCAGGCTGCGGCGTGAAGGATCTGAATGTGATGGTGAAATACATCAGTTGGTTGGGCTTATCACAGACCGCTATGATCCGAGGATTAGGGTTGGTGATCCTGCAGGAGTCGTATTCTTCTTTGGACACCTGGAACAGAAATATGGTTAATGCCAATCTTTTATGGAAACTATCGAATAATAAGAGTCAAACATCAGATATCAGTTGTCTACTCAGTACTGTCTATTTACCTGTAAATTTTAGTCTTAGAATAAAGAAAAATACTTTATACGAGTATTACATCATAACAGGAATACGCAGTGAAAATTTGCTTGAATTAGCCAGAATAATACTATTATTAAACGTGCATGTAAAATGTATAATTTCAAATATAAATTAATCGCATATGAGGAGGTTAATGGATTATTACGGAGTAATGACATTTAAATTTACGTTTACATATTTTAGTCTTCTCAAAGTAATGGAACGAGTAACTTTGAACCACTTACATAAGTGAATACATTTGTCCCAAATATTTTGTCCACTGCTGGAGAGATATAAGAAATTCTGGAGGTCTTAATTCAAAATATTTACTCTTCAAGGCATATCTCATTCCCATTACTGAGCTACCTCCCTTTGAGAGCTTTCTTTTTCTGCGGAAATAGAAAAAAGTTGCACTAATCAAGATCCGTCGAGTAGCATGGGTGCGACGCAAACAATATGTTCTTCTTCAAGAACTGTCGAACGAACAAAGTTCTTCAGAAATCTGGTCAACAGTCTCTGGATGATCTCCTTAACATCAATCGAACGTTTTCAGTGTTTGTCTCCTTTTTGTTCGTTGACGGATAGCCAAGTTTTATCAGTTCCCATCTGACATGTCTATATATATAGTGGGGTCGAGAAAAGCTCTTTTGATTTACTCCAACCGACTATATTCTTACTAACAATATCAAAGCATCGTCTTTAAAAGCTAGTCGAAGCATAACAGCAGTACCATCAACCTCAAGGAAAACTTAAACTCACCACTCGTTCTTTGTTCTTTGCGATCACAATCGCCAAAACCACAACATGTTGCGAGTATGGAATACATGCGTATCAGCAATAAGGAAGAACCGCTTCACACACATTGCTGCCACTCGGGATGACGCAAGAAATCCTTAGCTATTAGCAGGGCTGTAAATAGAGACTTGGGGACTTCAGTCTTAGCTACAGTCACAGAAAACATTAAGCATACTATGTATACTGTGCATACATGAGAAAACTTCATGAAATCGAACTGTGACTTATTACCAACAAGTTTGCTAATCTTGATTCTATTAATTTTTTCCAAGCTTCTCTTTAAATGAGGCTTTAATTCATAACTGGAATGGAAATGTTGTTGCGACATCCTTTGAAAAAAACTGAAGTGCTTTGTGGTGGATCTATTTTCCTTTGCCTTTGAAATTTGGGTTGAATTAGTTAAGAACATTCTTCATACCCTGGAAACGACGACGAAGTTAAGTGGATAAAGTATCTACCTTTGAGCAAAACACAGTTAACTAAAATGAGACTCTGGATCTTTTAATCTCTCACGTTCGCATAATGTAGAGTTTAAGTTAATTATCTGATTTTCTTATGATTTGGATCTGTACTATTACTTTTTTTCATTAGCTCTCATTGGGATATAAATTAATTACGAACACTCAAGCTGGAGTTTTTTAAAGTTTTGGTGACAGAGAGCTTCGGCTATGGCGCTCATAGTAGTACTTTTATCCCCCCAGCCGCCGTATGGCTAATGCTGTATGTAAGCTCTAGGAAATTAGCCAATTTGCTAGCGAAGTAAATTGCGCACTTAGAACTTGAGTCAACGCTTAATTGGGCCCTTTGGATTGTACTCTGTTGCAGTCATTATTTCAATTGTAAATAGAATTTTCTTTTAGGTAATATCCTGGAAGTAGGGATAACTTAAATTGTAAGCACAGATCGTGCATTTTTTTCCATTTAAAGCTCTTAATAAAATGGTTGTTTAAACCTTTTTAAGGCTCAGTTTTAGTTTCAAGACGGAGCGATATGACTCGCTTGTCAGTCTTAGTATAGGGTTGAAGAACTTTTAGTAGCTTACAGACAGCAACCCTACAAATGTCTTTTCTCTTTTCTTAATCGTATTCTGGGAAAACACTTAAACGACTTCCCATGGCTAAAAGATCTTCGAGACAGAACTATTTGGCCAAGAAATTTAAATTTAATTAGTTTTTAGCTGCTTCTGCAGATTTTCGCTTCTTTGCTTGCCTTTTGTGCATGCAAAATCGGTTCGATGACTCGAAATTCTTTAGCTTGGCGTGTTCTGGTGAATCTGAAGAAATCGGAAGTACGAAAGAAGAAATACGCTATACGAAGAATGCACTAAAAGTCCAAGAAACTAGGCTGCGAGAAGACAGAGGTCGTTGAAATAATCGCCGTAGATTACACAGGTAAGCATATCGCTACATATAATCGCTGGAAACCAATCACAAGAAGTAATCGCTAATGTACTTTCTTGAAAAGAAAACACACTGCCTTCGCATGCTTTGATTCGTTTTTTTAATACCTAATGTTCTTCTAGTACACCCGATTGCAGGATTCTACCAGAACATTTTGATACTTTGTTGGCTATTCTGGCATTTGCAGCAGAACATTCACTATTCTTGCTCTTTCCAGATTCCTGAATGAGTGCCCTTCTGACGTATGTAAAAGTGAAAAAATGAAGCTTCTGCAGTTGAGATGGACTTGTAAAAGAAATAATGCCCTAAGCTTCGGTGATTAGCAAGCCATGTCTGGGCAGCTGCAGAAGGACAGGGATACCAGAACAGTCTCGTTATACTCGTGCCTTTATTCGTTATACTTTCTGGCAACCCCTAGCTTCGCGCAGAAGTCTTTCATTTAAGCCGGCATGTATAGTGTTTGCATCTGCTAGCAGGGTTAACAATTATTTATAATCTGATCATCATGTATGCATTCGGAGGTAACATTTTGTGTTTAATTAAAATAAACTTTAAAAAAATCATTTTGGAAAACAAACAAAAACCACTATGGACGTCGACTGGGCTTCATTTTTTTTTTATTTAGAGGTTTCGATTCCCTCTCTTCTTTAATCGTTAGAAAGAGTTTAGGAATTCTAAACATTTGACATTTATTCATTCAAAAGATCTTATTACATACAAGTCGTAACCTACCTTACTCGTACGGTCAAAGCACGCCGCTTCGGAAGTAATTACGTAATATAACAACTGATGGGGTAAGAAGAGGATAAGATATCCTTTTGATGTGCCGCCTCCGCCATCTTGGAATCACGTGATTACCGGAAGGGACGTAGAGACATGTTTAAATGATGTTATGCATGATAGTTTTATTTTATGTGCCAACGATAATATTTATTGAAAGTTTTTATTTCTTGTGTCAACAATGATTTTTTGGTATCAACATCTTCCTGAACCACGTGTTTGCGATGATCTTTTACTATTTTTAATTGTGAGTCATTATCTTTTAATTATTTTGATATAATTTTTTAATACATCATTATTTTTAACTTTTTAATCTGTTATTGTTTTTGACTGATACCATTATTTATTTTAATAGCAATGTATTTTAAAAAGTTGGGATTCGAACCTGCTCCCTCCCGGGATCTGTCTTTTGGCCTTGTTCTATACAAATACTATACAAAACATCACGGATTCTCTTTGACACATTTTACTGACACATTTTACTTTTATTCAAATTATTCACCGAATTATGTCTAGCAAAGGTAAATTTTACACTCTATACTTTCTATTTACACAATTTTTCTTACATTTATCCCCTTTTAAAACATATTCACATTACGTTCCTAATTTCTTTTCCCCCAATATCAATACAAGCATAAACAAGCTTCTTTTTTGTAAGAAGGAATACTTACATTGTAGATGATGTAGCGTTCGGATTCTTCGTCCTCCTCGCCTTCCGACTTGGTGCCTTGGTTGGAATGAGGGTAGACGGGGCAGATGATGTTGACCTGGTCGTATTCGAAAGGGAGGTTGTTCTTATTCACGTCTATGATGTGGTCTGTGTTATCGATGCGGAAGCTGGAATAAACAGTTTCGATCAATAAGGCATATTCAAAGGACATTTTTCCAAAAAATATTTACAGAACAAAATGACACAACACTTTTTTTGTGTGTGTATAATAAATTACACACTTAACAGTAAAATTACACACTTAACGTGTACTTAAATTTCCATGTGTGGGCCTTCAAATATCAGGCCGTTATTAAGCTTTTAAGTTATGCATCTTTTCCAAAAGCAAATCCCAATTAATTCTTCTCATCGGAATTTCATTTCCTTTGTAGAAATGATCAACATTCTATAGCGTAATGGCTCTGCATGTGTTTACAGAGGAGTTATCAGATAGAGAGAAACAACAACGCAGAAATGCTATAACTTGAATCATACTCACATTGCTCTGTAAATGTCAGAATCGTTTCTCATGTTTGGGATGGTGCGAAAGTCAGTATTGGGGGCACATTTAAAGGCACACAAGTAGCGAGTTTCAAAAAGAATATACGTATTTCGAATGCATATATTTATTAAACTGTATGACATACGAATATGAAACTTTACATATATATGAACGAACCTCTCAAGTTCAGATTACAGATGTTCAATACATTCTCCATCAGCGACACGAACAATATCACATCGATACTCAAATTCCTTCCATACTCGGGCAAGCATGTCCGTCGTCACAGTATGGTTCCGGTTCTTCGCCTCTTCCAGGTTCTGTGGGAGTGGTGGTGCATAAACGTTGTTTTTAATGAAACCCCCAGGAAGAAGTCAAAGGGTGCCAAATCCGGTGACCGTGGAGGCCAGCTGAGACATGCTAAGTCTCCAGCTTCTTAACGACCAATCCAACGATTCGGTAGAGTTTCATTCAGATAATAACGCACTTGGCGACACCAGTGAGGAGTTGCTCCTTCTTGTTGAAAAATGAAGTTGTCTTCGTGCAGCCTCGGAAACAACCAGTTTTGTAACATAGTGAGATACTGCTGACCGTTAACCGTGTTTCCATCAAAGAAGAATGGGCCGTAAACAGATGATCGGAATATCACACAAAACACATTGATTTTGGGCGAATCTCGTACATGTTCAGTGGCTGCATGTGGGTTCTGTAGGCCCCAAATTCGAACATTGCGTTTGTTTACATATACTACTAACATGAAAAGTAGCTTCATCATTGAACACGATGCGTTGTGCGAAAGTGTTATCATTGTCTATAGCATCAATAATCTCGTTAAAAAATGCTACACATTTGCGTTTGTCATCAGGACACAGAGCCTGTAACAAATGTAACTTGTACGGCTTCATAACCAACCAACGTCTCAAAACACGCCAAATTGTTGTTGTAGGCAGTTTTAACTCCAGGCTGGCACGACGAGTTCATTTTGAAGGAGTACGTTGGAAAGCAGTTTGAATTCATGCAACATTTTCGTCGGGAACACGAGGGCGGCCAGGATTCTTTCCTTTACATACACATCCTCTATTTACAAACTGTTGATACCAGCTGCGAATGTTCCACCCATTCGGAAGATCACTTTGGTACCTCGACGTCTTTGCACTGTAATCACGGAATTGCACTTCACAAATTCGAGAACACAAAATGATTTCTGCTGTAGAGTAGCTATTTTAAACACGTGAGTAGTAAGCCACGGTAACCGACCGGCGGAAGTGACGTCACAGAAAAAGGGGAGTGGTCGCCGCCATCTTGAATCACGTGACAACCGGAAGTGACGTAGATAGAAGGAATGACGTAGACGGAATGACATCATCAATTTCCGTTTTTTGTATGATCTTTTCAAGTTTTTTATTTTTTTGTAGTCGGCACTATTTTTTTAGCCGCAACGGTATCCTTGAACTACGTTTGGGAAGACAATCACTGTATTTATTATTGTTAATTATTTGACATGTGATTAATATTTTTGTTATTTGATTAATTTTTAATGCTCTTAATTTAACTTTTTATTATTACTATATTTTACTATTGAGTACAAATTATTTACTTATTACTTTAAATTTTTGTAAAATTAATATTATTTCCCTGAATTTTAAAAGTAACTCCACGGCTGAGATTCGAACTCGCTATCTCTGTGATGTGAGTCTAGTGCTTTACCGCTCGGCTAAGCTCTTCGTGTTATCAAACCTGTTATTTTTCCGTTTGGAGCGAAAATCACCATGATGTCAATAGGCTGGGAGAAACAGGCAAACGTTATCTCTTTCACGTTGCAGAATGCCGAAACTGCTTCCCGCTTTCTACATCTGCCCTGGCGAACGTATACAATCTTAACA